GCCATTTTCAGCATTTTTCAACAGCTTTCTGCTAATATTAGCTTCAATGTGGTTCTTTTTACTATTTACTGTTAATTTAAGCTTTTTAAGCCATTTAATTCTGCTGTTTTTATTTTACGCTTTAGCTAAATTATGCCCAGTTTAGTAAAACACAGCTAAATTTATGTTTTGGTGGTCTTTTCAGTAAATTATTTTGCTTTGTTCAGCAAAGATGACTTTTTAGTTTCTTTTTGGTATAATTTACAAATTTCTACTAAATTTACCAACACTTCTGCTCTGTTCAGTTAAAAAAAAAGGCTAAATTGTGTCAAAAAGCTGATTCATCACTTTTATTTTCTTACTTTCACCGAAAGTCAGCTGTTCAAATCAGGGGTGGAGCTAATATTTTTTGTAAGAGCTGCCACAGTGGTGGCCAGGGTGCTCTCCAGGGGGGCACATGCAAATAAAGAAAAGCACTCTGAATTTGAAAATTCAAAATGGTCACCACACCTAATTCCAAATGGCTTTAATTCAGCTCTTTTAAGGAATATTAAGCTAAAATTGTGTGATCATAGCTAAGAGTGATCCTAAAACATGCTGAATGTTATTCTAAACTTATTATTCAGACATTTTCAGACATACAAAGCTGAAGATTAGTGTAGAAGTAGCCAAAAGCAATCTTTACCAAATTCTAAATGCTAATCAAAAATTCAAGATGGCCACCACAGCTAACTTTAAAAGGTTATAATTAAGATATTTTAAGACTTAAGATGAAATTAATCGTGGAGTAGCTAAGATTGATCACATGCTGATGCTAATGCCATATAAAGCTAACCATTACGCTAATGTAAATTTTACAAATGGCTATAATTAAACCATTTTTAAAACATACACAATTGGAAATTTCTATAGTATCATAGCATCAGAGAACAAACTAACAAAATATAAATGCTAATACAAAACCCAGGATACCTTCCCACACATCGATTAACTGGGGTGGCCAATCAGGTGCCAGAGGTGGCAGTTGCCACCCCTCTGGTTACGCCACCGTTTCAAATTTACCTCGCATTAACAGTTTTGCTAAACATTTTCAGCAACTTCAGCAGCTTTCAGCAAAAATCTATCAAGCACACACACTGCATTTTCACAGGAAATGCAAATTCTCTAGTTTAAGGTGATTCTTTAAAACATAAAATGAATTAAACTGAATAAGGTAGCAGCCTTTGTGTGTGCGCATGGGTTTTTAGTTTGTGTGTGAATTATAAAACCACATCATGCTGAGTTATAACATAACTTCAGGGGAAGGAAGGAAACCACTGCAGTCTGTTTCTGCACAAATCTACAGCTTTTGTCTGCATGAATAAGAAAATCTCAGTGCGTGTTCACCAGAGGGATGTAAGCTGGTGGTTTTCCTATCACCACCTCCTCCACCTCCTCCTCCTCCTCCTCCTCTCATCTCAGGCATAATTACATCAGTGTGTCTAAACAGGATATGGTAAACTGAGACAGTGGCTGTCATGTCAGGGACCACATGAATCTATCCCAGCAGGGCCATGTTGGCTTTATTACAGATGGAATATCAAAAGTTTAATTACACCGTAATGAGAGCTAGAATTAAAACGCAGATCTGAAACAAATCTTTGGGGAACGAGTGATACAAGAAACCTAAAGAGGGAGTCGGCCACACAAAGGGAAGCGCCACAGAACTGTTGAGCGGCCATACAATAAAGCTGTATTTCCTCATTAGCAGCACTTTGTGTTTTACTTGCTCGCATGACATGTCAAATTATTCATGACTCGTGTGGAAAAAGTCAAGCTTCAGATGATTAGTTCAGCACAGTGGTTTCTAATTAGCTGCATTATTATTATTAATAAGATCATATCCCTAAGTGATAAAATGATTTACTCGAAGGCTGGCAGGAGCAAAGAGATGCTAACACTAAACAAAAGGTCAAGCCAACAGAACTTGCACTGAGAGGGAAAAAAGCATCTTTATTTGATGATAAAGTTATCAAACTGATACTGAGCTGAACACAATATTTCAAAGTTGTGTAATTCTAGTATCAGTTATCTATTAAACAGTATTGGAGGAACAGGCTAAATGTTATGTTTTGGTGACTATTGACTTCTCAACTGGTAAAACACACAGACATGTTATCTAGGTTGGCCTTCACTAAGTTTAATTTATTCTTATTTAAGACTTAATTCTTTATAAAGCATTAAAGTGCCTGTGACATGCATATTCTTGAAATACAAAGAAGTCAAAGAAAACGTCTTTATATTTAAGAAAGTTGGAATAATACACACAATTTTACACATTTTGTCCCATAATTGGTATATTTTCTGTTAAACTCGACTCAGCCAAAGTGAAACAGGAAGTGACATCAAAGGGGAACTCTAACAATAATAATAATAATAAAAACCTCTGGTCTTTGTTTATCGAAACAATATTTTTTTTTAACTCTGACGCTTCTTCATCTCTCTCTGACAGTGACTCAAAATAATCTTAAGAAACATCACATTCTTCTCTACAGTCTGGGTTGTTGGCTGTTGTAGCAACGCTCTGTTTACATGCAGACATTCCCCTTTGACATCACTTCCTGTTACTTCACATGCAAATATCTCAACAACTGTTCATCTCAGCGACATGAAATTTAATTTGCAACATTTTATCAGTGTCCTCTTTCTAAAAATGCATTCATATGTATTACAGAAATTTGACACCACAGGCACTTTAATCTTTCATAAAATGACCCTTATTAGGAAGTGATAACTGAAATTCAGCAATGATTTACAGATAAATGTTAGCTCTATGTAGAAAAGCTGAGTCTCAAATAACTAGCTGTCCTAGCTGCACCAGAAACTCCTCCTGCATCATCCCTGTCCAGCCTCATCTCCTCTTCTCAGTTTTTTCTCTCCCTCCAGCTCCCTTGTAGAACAGCTCTAAGCTCTGCCCTGACATGTGACTTCCCTAATCCACCTCCCCCCCCTTCCAAAACAGCTGCAGATTTGACACAAAGCTCTGCGATTTGGTTCATCAGTCGATGATGTGATACGCTAAGCTGTGCACCGAGAGGAACAAAAACCCAGTTTCTACGTCTGGTCGTCCTGCCATCGAGGTCTGGAGCGTTTCTGGAGTTTCTCTTTGCAGTCAGACATCCCGCCTCCTTTTCACACAAAACCATACGGTTACATGCCGAGGCACGTGATGACACAACACGGGCAGCGATGAGGATGTTGTTGGTTCTTGTGTACAGAGTCGTAGCAGTGTGTTTTGTGTGTGTGTGTGTGTGTGTGTGTGTGTGTAATTTGTCATCAAACACTGCGACAACATGCAGACTGATAATGG